GGAGTCAAACATGAGCAATAAATCTAAACTGAGCTTGAACATAGTTTGATGATGGCAGGAAAATCAGCAGCGGATACTGGATCTGACCTGTCTGGACAGAACGCAGCCATGGCTGACCCTGACACTCTGTGTGTCTTTTAACTTGGGCAGTTCCCAGTCGGTTTTTCAGAGGGAAGTAAATGAAGGTGGAGTATTGCTTCACTGTCTTGGCCTCAAAACACAGATTAGTGCCGACTTGTAAATCTCAAGTGGAGCTGATTTGTTTGAAATGTGACTTTCAGAAACCTGATCTCACTGTCAAAGCAATAAGAATTTACTCAAATTCATTTTTGGGGGGTTTCAGCTTTTCTGGTTTCTGAGTTGGAGGCGTCGAGGATGATCCTGGTTAACAAGCCTCAGAAGAAAGCCCAGGAGTCTGGAAGCCCTGCGTTCCAAGAACTGAAGGGCATCTGCATGGCACTGGGCATGTCCAAGCCTCCAGCCAACATCACCATGTTCCAGTTCTTCAGTGGCATAGAGAAGAAGGTCAGTCAGACACAGAGGTGGTGTCCACTATAAAGTAGGGTCTCTAAAAAAGAGCGACACCATATTACATCGTGTTGTGATAACTCGCACTGGGTTAAAAGCGACGAGTGAAGGAGCAGCAGCTGTAAAGGTCACCTCTGACCTTTGAAACAAGCAAAAACATCTGGGACAAAAGGGTGCAGCAGCTCATACGGATAAATGGGGCAGAACCTTTAAGAGACATGAAGACAAATAAAAGGATTTTGAATTCATAAACGAGCAGCCACTGAAGTTATGCTAAACTTGAAGTGATGTGCTCTCACTTGCACCAGAAAAAAATTGAGCAGCGTGTTTTGCACCAGCCGTAAGTGAGCAATGGAAGCCTGGCTGATCTCTACGAGAAGTGCATTGCAGTAATTGAGAGGAGAGGTTATAAATGTTTATGATGATTATTTAATATTTTATTATCTGATAACATCTCATCTGTGTCAGCACTCTAGGCAGACTTAACCCAAAGATTTCCCACTGCTGCTAATTTATTCGTTTTCACATATATGAGATAAATGATTAAAATATAACTGTTTTGCAGTGAATAAACATAAAATGGCTAAAGTTTCAGGGCCGAGGCAGAATTTCATAATGAATTTTGCACGTTACCGTTACAGAGAAATGCAAAGCCTTCTTGTTATTGGGGTTTTTTTTGTTGACCTCTGCAAAATGTACCCAAACTATTACCACCAAGGGGCAGTGTTTTACCAGAATATTTCGTGTAGTTGCCCACCCTCTAACATGAAAAAAATAAAATGTATGGTTTGCTCTTAGATTCCACAGCAAAGTAAGTCTAATTGATGACAAACAAGAAGAAGTCCATTTGGGAAACATTAGCACTTTATTAATATAGCCATTGCTTTGTGGCTTCCAATCAACATCATCACTCATTGTTTTCATCTCCAAAGCTGTAGAAAGCTGCTGTCATGTGGACTTTTTATCATTTGGAATAGATACTTGTCATGTCCCAGTGCTGCTCCTCTTCAGGTTGAATTATGAGTGGATGCTGCACCATCTTGTGGTAGAAACTGATATTACATGAAAGCACTGCTCAGCACTGTTTTCACTCTTTTTGACATTTAGGTGTATAAGCATGGTACTCGTGTTCATTTTAGAAAGTGTGTAAACTTACAATGAGTGAACGAGTTTTAAAATGTAGGCTTAAACGCAAAGGAAGGATGTGAGCTGCCTGCCAGCAACACTGAGAGAAATGAATGTTTTGCAACAACCAACCATGAGGCTGACAATCTGAAGTCGGGGAAAGGATTCCTGCCCTCCTAAAGTGTTTTTTCTTTGAAAGCAGATACTTTTACAATTCAACTTGCACACATCTGCACATGCTCTCTTTTTCCTTTCAGCTGAAAGAAGCCCTTAGTCGAGTTCCACCAAACCATGTAGGGGAGCCGTTGTTAAAGAAGCCCCTTGGACCTGTGCACATGGTAAGTAAAAATGGTGGAGAAATGCAGAACAGTCAGTGAATAGTATGTGAAGACTCTTTCTTCTCTCTTAATCTTTTTACCTTAGGAAAAAATTGAGGCTATAAACCAAGCGCTAGTGAATGAGTATGAGGTGAGAAGGAAGATGCTGTTGAAACGTCTTGACGTGACGGTGCAGTCCTTCGGTTGGTCCGATAGAGCAAAGGTACGTAGCAACGTGGCATCCTCCTAACCAAGTATGAAGCACGTGTCTAGCTTTTTAAACAGGAGCACTGTGGGTTACAGAGGTACTGCTCTTTGCTCTCTTTCATAGCAAATGTTCTTAATTGGGTTAGCTACAAAATCTTCTGCTCTCTTAAATGTTGTTCTTCTCACTATAAAAATGTTGGGCCAAAACCAAAATAGTCCTTATTTATCTTTTGCCGGTGTTTGTGCTGCCGTCAGTTTGTCCTGCATCTGAAACCAGCTATTTTGGCTCTTCTCCTGTAAGGTCACCATTCATTTGGTGGGTGTGGCTGCTTTGCTGACAAACAGAACTGCGTGCGACATTACGGCCACATGCTCTCGCTGACATCATATAGAGCCAGGAGTAGGAGTTTGTGCCTGAGCTTTTGGCTCACATGTACATACGCTGGACTCATCATTTAAACTTTGGTTATGTTTAATATGAGTATCTGAACAGGAGATATGACAGAAAATATGAAAAGGCAGAATAGGTGGGCTTGAAGTTATAACTTCATCCGGACCACAACTTTTCATAAGTAATTATTATTTGAAAATAATATAAAACTGTGAGGAATTCCTGCCTCTAGAGGTTTCCTGAAGGGATACAGCCTGAAATCCAGAGGAATTATAAGCTGCTATAAAATGATGAAAAGAGTAATCATCTTTTCAAATAATTCTGCCAGTTGATTGCTGATTCTGAGTCTCGTGTTTAGTCATATACTTTGAAAATACTGTTTAATACAATAGATGTGTTACTGTCCTGTTGTGGATTATGGGCTTTATTGTGCTCATCTCTCTTCAGACACATGCTGATAAGTTGAGTAAAGTTTACCCTCCACTGCGTTCAGCTCTTGCCAACAAAAGTAAAGTCTCTGTTGCTCATCTTCTTGCCGCTCGCCAAGACTTCTCCAAGATCCTCCGCACAAGCAGCGGCAAGATAAGAGAGAAGACGGCCTGTGCCATCAATAAGGTGGGCTCATCAGTGCAGTGACACCTGTCCTTCTTCCTTTTCATGTCTTTTACTCTGTTTTTATTTCAGTGTAAAATGCGTTGATTTAATACTGACTGTTTGGTGGTTATAAACATATAAAGCTCAGCACAGTAACTTTAGTTTGAAATGTTTCTCCTGGTCATCCACGCGTCACGTCTAGTGGCGCTGTGGTCAAGCGTCCCACAACTGTTTGATTTCAGCACATTTCCTCTCCTCAGGTTCTGATGGGCCGAGTACCAGACAGGGGAGGTCGGCCGTGTGAGATTGAGCCTCCGCCTCCAGAGATGCCCACCTGGCAGAAGCGTCAAGATGCTCCCCAAATCGGAGGACACTATGGC